CATCCGGTTGGGGCCAGTAATAGCCAGAGTTGCTTTCGGGTGACTCCCCCTACCGCCGCTTCCTGAGAAGACTGTAGATGCCGGTCGATCTGTGCCCGCACCGCCTGCGCCACCGGGCATTCCCAAAAGTGATGCATGCGTGGCGAGCATGGCTGACCAGCTGCTCCACCGAATCCGCCACATCCACAGCGTTCTGGAGTCATGCGGGCTAGGTGCGTGTTGCCCGGTAGGGGGACGCCATCCACTGCGAGCCGCCATAACGTCTCCTTATTCTCATTCTCCCATCGTACCCCGGACCATACGCGGGCCTGCATCGCCCTGAATAGGCTGATTTCCGAGGGGGGTTGCGGCGACGGGCCCTGCGGATCCGTCGCCTTCCGCACAAATTCAGCTACCAGGCGTCTTCTCCTCTCCTCCATAGGCCCACATTGCAGCTGTGTCGCCAGGCGAACCGTGAGGCGTGCCAGCGGGATGGCTTCCGCCATCCCAGGTATACGCCACCCAATTCGCCCAGTAATCATACCCATCGCTTGCATGCTGGTCAGCAGTGGTGCTGGTGACGGTATGACAGCCTCCTCCCCTTCCGTTGCCGCTGCCATCGGTTCCGTTAGCCCCCGCTGCTGCTGCTGCTGCTACTGTCGCCGGGTCTCAGCCGTTCTAGCAGCTTCGAGCCAGGCCGGGTTTATGCTGCTATGCAGCGCCGCGAGGGCTGCCCGGGTCACGGGTTTATCCCGCGTGGAGATCGGGGTAAGCGGGTCGAGGTGGGTCTGGGCCCACTCCATCCACACCGTCCTAGGGAGGGTTGCCAGATCGCTGCTCTCTGCCAGGGCCCAAACCCGCACCAGGTCCCCTACCGTCTGTAGTTTCCTGCAGGTGGCAAGCCCAGGGTATTGGTACTCCAGGCCGGGGCGGCGGCCCCGGTCCGTTGGGTCGGTCCCTCCAGCATTGGAGAATAGCGGATTTCCCCATAATGCAGTCGCCCAGCACCAGTCACCGGGTGTCAGTGGGTTGGTCCCGATGTCCTCTGGTGGCGGCAAGTGCCCCAGGGCTCCCACAATCCGGCTGATATCCTTCGGCAGGTCACTAGTCCCAAGCCAGGGCCCAGTTGGGCTCGCGGTTGTCAGGGCCCATGGCTGGAAAGCGGGGTTCGTGAGCAAAAGGTAGGCTGAAAGCGTGCGGACCCAAGGGTGGATACCTCCGCCCACCTGCATATCTGTGTCTGTTGCGCCTGTATCTGATCTCGTGTTGCCTGTTCGCAGCCCTAGGGTTGCGATGACAAAACGAGCTGCCCACACCGCATGCCGGGCTTGGATGTGTTGCCGGAGGGGCAGCAGACCAAAGCCTCCTGTCGATGGGTGACCGATCAGGAGTTCCTTGGGCACGCCAGTCAAGCGTCGGCCAGGATCATCCGGGCCTTGTTGGCGGTCGACCAGGCGAGCCGTGAGTGGCTCTATCTCGTCCAGCACGCGGTCTGGGGCCAGTCCGCCATGCTCCATGTGCCAGGTGACCGTCTGCAAGCCATACGCCGACGCCGCCGTTGCCCTTCCAAATGCTGACAGCGGGAAGCGGGACAGACGCTGCATCCGTGATGATCCCTTCAAGGAAGCCTGCAGGCACCTGCCCGGTCATGCCAATGGCAGTGAACAGGCCTGCCATGGTATTACCTATGGTTGACCAGAATTTCCTGTAGATGTCGGCCGGGATCCCATCCCACCCTGGGACCTTGCCAGGTGCGCTCTTCTTGAGTGCCTTCCGCAGTTCGGTGGCTGTGATCTTTTTGGCTCCAAGCTATTCATCTGTCTCTGCCGGGAGCTTAATGTTGGCTGTGGTGAGGGAGCTCAGCACGGTTTGGCGGGCCTGGGGGCAGATGAAGTCCGGGGCCTTGCTCACATCCTTCCAGAAGTCGGCTACCACCTGGGGCAGCTGAGCGGGGTTGGTAACAAGTCGGCCGGACGAGGCGTGCAGGGCGACAGGGGCTGGTTGTTGGTCTACAGCCTGGGCCTGGAGGAAGGCTGTAAGGGATGGGCTCGGCCTCTCCCCTGCCCGCAGCCAGTGGGTGCGGGCCTCCATGGCATCCTTCCGGCAGTCTTCCCGATGTGCTCGTGCGAGCGTTGCCTGGGCTTCGACCAGTTGTTGAAGTGGCTGTTGTGCTGTGGGGGCTGCATCCACCGCTTGCCTTGCCAGCTGGACCTGCGGTAACACCTCCCGAGCCCGGGCCCCTGGTCTGAGCTTGCGGTGTTGTGCCGCCTTGTTGAGCTGAAGGGCCAGGGTGCTCAGCCGGCGTTTAAAAGCTGGCCACCACGCAATCAGGCCCAAAGGGTTGTCCTCCGCAGATGGGGCTGTGGCACACTGGCTGGTGATCCATGCCTCCATGCTTGCGGCTAAGTCCTGGTGTGATGTGAAGGCCAGCCGCACTCGTCGGTTCCCTGGGCCCTTGCTCTCTGGTCGGCACGGCAGCAGGTGCATGACCATTGGCTTGTGATCCGACGGTGTTTGCACGGCAATCTCCGTCTTAGCAATGTATGGCATGGTGCCATGGTCTACATAGATGCGGTCTAGGCGGGAGGCCCCGACGCAGGGAGCTCTGTAGAAGTGGGTGTAGTCGCAACTGTGGGGGTGCAGCTGGCGGTGGCTGTCCACCATGGTGGGGCCTGCTGCCCGAAGAAGGTCCACTGTTGGGCCATCTCCCCGTCGCCCGCCTGGACCTGCTGTGGAGTCCATCCCTGGGTCTTCCACAAAGTTGAAGTCACCCGCCCAGACCAGCATGGTGTCACTGTTCTCGGCTGCATGCTTGGTTGTGGCTGGCAGCGTGGTTGTAAACAGCGACTGCCGGATCGGGGTTGCTTGTGCTGAGGTACCCGTGGGGCCGTACACATTGCAAATGTGAATACGGTGTCCTCCCCAACGTAGTACACAGCTGGTAAACCGCCCTCTGACCCCAGGAGAGGAGTGGGAGGCGGCTTTTCCAAGTTGGTAGCCAAATCCCGACGGATAAGAAGGAGGATAAGAAGGAGGATAAGAACCCCCGCTTTGTGGGGAGAGTCTGACCAGGAGTAGGCCGCCACTTTCCATCCCTGGGTGTGTGCAGCGCAGGTTTAGCTCATTTCCTAGCCGGCCTTGGTCATGAGCATTGGTGTGGTGGGTTTCCTGGAGGCACACCACATCCAGGCCCGTCTCTGCCCATAGCTTGACTGCTGCGTGTACTTATGTGTGTATGTATGTGTGTATGTGTATGCGGCGCCACTAACTACCTGGCTCTCCGGGTGGTCCGCTGCCTGCAGAATACCCATGTACACGTTTTGCTGCTCACTACTCCCCGCTTGCCGTACAGTGTCGTACATAATTTGGCTGTGGCGCTATACAGCATGATGCCTGGGGACGAGGGGGAGGCGGCACTGCTGCGCTACCTCACGCGCGCGGGCCGCGGCGGCGCCAACTTAACGTACGGCGGTACGGCACCGCTATACGACACGCAGTACGCGCTGCGTCTGGCTCAGGAGTGTGGAAAGCCGCGTGCGGCGGTGCGGCTCATGTGCCAGCTCGGTGAGTACGTGCAGCAACTTCAACTTCTGAATTCTGCGTTAGTTAGTAGTTAGTTAGTTAGCTGTCTACCACCTTTCCCTGTAACATCATTCATTACCGTATTGTCCTGCGTGCTGTTCTCAAACATTTCGCTGTAGGGAAGTTGAGGATTAGGACGATTAATTAGCCGCAGAAGTATAACCATAAGTGTAAGGCCTATTGGGGCTTTGTGCTATTTATTTGTGGCTTCAAAACAGGCTTTACGCTTATAGACCTGGACTTGGCCACAAGGCTTGCCTTCCCCCTCCCGCATTTCCCCCCTCCCGCATTCCCCCTCACTTACTCTCTCCCTCCACCCCGCCTTCGCTCGTACTCCGTTCCTTTCCCGGATGCGGTTCCCCCCCCCTTGGCTGACTTTGCTGGTGGCCCTCCGCGCCCTCCACTCTGGTGGTTCCCACAAGTCCGAAATGCTGGGGTGGGTTATCTGCCTGACCTCGCCCCGGGACACCCACCCCCCATCGCGCTGCTCCAGTTCTGTGTCCTCTCCCCGCCTCCACCACCCGCCCCCCACCCGCCCCCCACCCGCCCCATGCAGGAATGTACCCTGATGCTGTCCGTGCCGCTCTGGCACTGGACCTGGGTCTGGCCAAGGGGGTGGCGGGGGAGCCCGAGCAGGATGACGCACTGCGGAGGAAGCTGTGGCTGCAGGTGCGTGTGTGTGTGGGTGTGTGGGGGGGGTTGGGGGGTTGGGGGGGTGGGGAAGGGGGAAGGGGTAGGTGGCGGCCGCGTCTGTGTGGCAATGGTGTGTATGTTTTTTGTGGTTTTGGGTTGTGGGAGGATGGGTGGATGATTACACTCAGAGCGAGGGGCCAGGACGGTTGCCGGTTTGCTCCATTTCCAGAGGCCTTTCTCTTTCAGTTTGCCGGTGATGCAGTGGTGGCGATGCTGCTGGCTGGTGATGCTGCTGGTGATGTAGTGGTGGCGGTGACCGGGGGACAGTGATGATAACGTCTAACAATGTACCTGGCGAGGATTGAATGATGCCGATGACGCGGAAGAATGCTGAGTGACAATGTTTATCTGCCTACCTCCCCTCCTTCCCCCTCCAGGTTGCTCGCCATGTGGTGGAGACGGGGAGCAGGGTGGCGTCGGCTGGACGGGGGGAGGGACCGGGGGCCGGAGAGGGGCCTGGATCTGGATCTGGATCTGACCCCACCTCCCACATCCGTACGGCAGTGGAGTTCCTCCGGGAAGCTGATGGTCTCCTCCGAATAGAGGACATTTTGCCCTTCTTCCCGGACTTCGTTACCATTGACAACTTCCAGGTAGGCTGGGGGTAGGGGTGAAAAGCAGGTTTTGACGTTTTGGGGAGTTGTTGGAATCGCTAACCCCCTCCCCCTCCCCCCCCTTGCCAGCTTTACGACAGCACTGCTTTACTACTTTTCCGCCGCCTTCACACCTACTTTTCTACACCTACTTCTTTACGGCTTGGCAATACTATTTCTTCTGCTTTTTTAGTCCTGGCGGCTTAGGTAGGTAGTCTTTCCGACATCTTCTTCACTTCGTCATCCCGAGGTCGCGGTCTTCACGGACGCCTTTCGGTCAGTTCTACGTTTGATACACTCTTGCCCTGGCAGCAGCTTCACTCGTTCGTGGTTCGTCTTTCCCCCTTCTCCCCCCCCCCCCCCCTCCCCCCCCTCCCCCTCCCAGGCCGCCATATGCGATTCTCTGGAGCGCTACGGTGCGGCCATTGAGGCCCTCAAGGCGGACATGGAGGAGGCCACCGCCATTGCTGAGGCGCTGAGGGCGGATATCGCCATGCTGGGGAACAGGTGTGGGGTGACTGGGTGTGCCGGAAGAAGGATGTAGAGGAGGTGGAGCAGGGGTCTGCTGCAACTGGCGATTATCAAGACGCGGCCCACGCATTTGACGCTGGAGTCCAGTAGTAGTGTACTTGGCAGCAGACATGCAGCGGTGGTGGAGGCGTAGGTTTCCCCCCTCTCTCTCTCCCCCCCTTTTTCCCTTCCTCTCTATCCGCCACCATTGTGTCACCCAACCCTCCCCCCCCGCCGGACTGGCCCCAGACAACCCGGGGGTCTTTAGGGGGCCTTACCTCCTCAGCCCCTTACATCATCAGTACCACCTGCATCATCACTTGGGGGATCCT